GCCCCAGCTTGATCATCCTGTAGATGCGGTTGGCGTGCGTCTGGGGGTCCTCCAGGCTGAAGCCGGAGGACAGGAGCGCGGTCTCGTAGAGCAGGATGACCAGGTCCCGCACCGACTTGTCGTTCTTGTCGGCCTCCGCCTTCTGCCGCAGGGTCTCGACGATGGGGTGGTCGGGGTTGACCTCCAGGTGCTTCTTGGCCGCCATGTAGCCCATGGTCGAGTTGTCGCGCAGGGCCTGCGCCTTCATGATCCGCTCCATGTTGGCCGTCCAGCCGTAGGTGCTCGTGACGATGCAGCACGGGGACGTCACCAAGCGGTTGGACACGACCACCTGCAGCCACGCGGGAGACCCCAGGGTGCCACCTGCTCAGCCTCACCGTGTGTGAAGCTAAGGAGCCCCAGTGTGGGTGACCAAGGACCCTACTCGGGAATGAGGCGAACTCGAGGAAACTAAACACGCACAGGGGCTCTCTGGGGGCCCCCTGCAGCCTGAGCGCGATCCCCGCAGGGTCAGCGGTGCCCTCCTGTCCCCCGCCGCTCCCCTCAGCAGGCGGCTTCCATGGACCCGTCTGTCCTGCTCCCCACTCTGTCCTGGGGAGTCCTCTCGCCCCTGCCCCTCTGGCCTGCACCCCAGCTCTTGTGTAAGTAAATCGTGAATGACGTGAATGACAGGACAGCACCACACACCTTTTCCACTTTTTTCTCCAGGATGTCCTTCATGATTTTGCAGAGGTTTTCAAATTTTGTTTTCTTCTCTTCCTGCTTCTTCTTCTCCTCTTCATCTTCCGGAAGTTCCAGGCCCTCTTTGGTGACGGACACCAGGGTCTTGCCCTCGAACTCCTTCAGCTGCTGGACGCAGTACTCGTCAATGGGCTCAATCATGTAGATCACCTCCAGGCCGTGCTTCCGCAGGCGCTCCACGAAGGCAGAGTTGGCCACCTGGTCCTTGGTCTCGCCTAGGGGTGGGGAGGGGAGGGGGGTCAGACGGGCCCCCACGAGCTTCCGCTGACCCGCCCAGCCGGCTCCGGGGCCGCGCTGAGGCCCCTCTCACGCAGCGGGCGCCGCACGGAGAGCACCCACGCACAGCTCTCGGGAGCCACCGAAAAAGGCCTCGTCACCGCCTCTGGCCGGTACCTGTGATGTAGTAGATGTGTTTCTGGTTCTCCTTCATTCTCGTGCAGTAGTCCTTGAGCGAAACCATCTCGTCGCCAGAAGCGGACGTGTAGTACCTCAGCAGCTCGGACAGTTTCTTCCGGTTCTGAGAGTCTTCGTGTATTCCCAGCTGAAAGGGAACGTTTGCTTTTGAGACTCTGCGTGAAAGTCACGCTGAAAATCAAGGAACCACCGTCGCCACAGGCACACGACGCTGCACCCACCTTGATATTTTTGGAGAACTGCTCGTAGAACTTCTTGTAGTTCTCCTTGTCCTCCGCCAGCTCGGTGAAGAGTTCCAGGCATTTTTTGACCAAATTCTTTCTGATAACTTTCAGAATTTTGCTCTGCTGCAGCATCTCCCGGGAAATATTCAGGGGGAGGTCCTCCGAGTCCACCACACCTCTGATGAAGTCTGGAAAACCCCAAACGTTGCAACCGCGAAGTCACTTCAAGGCTGAACAGCCAGCTGTAACCCGCGTGCCCCAGGTGAAAGGCCCCCGAGCCCTCGCCCCACTTCAAACCTCTGGGAGCACAGGACGCACCCCAGGGACAGCGCCCACCACCCCGCACTCACTCAGGTACTCAGGGATCAGCTCCTCGCAATTGTCCATGATGAAGACCCGGCGCACGTACAGCTTTATGTTGTTCTTCTTCTTCCTGTTCTCGAAGAGGTCGAAGGGGGCGCGTCTCGGGACGAAGAGGAGGGCCCGGAACTCCAGCTGGCCCTCCACGGAGAAGTGCTGGAGACAGACGCGGGCGGGCGGCTTTCAGCGGGAGCCGCGCCCCCCCCCCACCGCGCCCCCGTGCGGCCCAGTGAACGCCCCCTGCGCGCGCCTGCCCAGCGCCCACCTTCACGGCCAGGTGGTCCTCCCAGTCGTTGGTCAGGCTCTTGTAGAACTCCCCGTACTCCTCGGTGGTGATGTCGTCGGGGTTCCTGGTCCAGATGGGCTTTGTCTTGTTCAGCTCTTCCTGGTCGATGTACTTCTCCTTGATCTTCTTCTTCTTCTTCTTGTCGCCGTCCTTCTTCTCCTCCTCCTCCTCGTCCGAGCCCACGTCTTCTATTTCGGGCTTGTCGTCCGACTCCTTTTCTTCTTTCTCCTTTTCTTCTTCTTTGTCTTCCTTCTCTTCCGCCTCGTCGTCGCTGACTTCCTTGTCACGTTCCTTCTCCACCTGCAAGACACGAGTCCGGCACCTCTGCATTCCAGAGCCCAACTGTTGGCTACGTGGACGGACGGAAGCGCGCACCAGAGCCACGTTAGCCTGGTGGAGCCCAAGCGGGTCCAGCGCCCCGTCCATGACTGCTGTCCCTAAGCACCCAGGGACCCCAACAGGGCGACTTCAGAGCGGAGCAGGAAACCGCCAGTGCGGGTCCCTCCGGGTCGACACGCTCAGTCAGGGCCCGAGCTGGAGCCGCTAGGGGTGGAGGGCCCGTGAACTCACGAACAGAGTGATGGGGTAGCCGATGAACTGCGAGTGTTTCTTCACGATCTCCTTGATCCTCCTCTCCTCCAGGTACTCGGTCTGGTCCTCTTTCAGGTGCAGGATGACCTTCGTCCCACGACCCATCGGCTCCCCTGAAAGCGGAGAGAACAAGTCAACTTACACCAGGCAGGCTGAAAGGAAACACCACCTCCTACTCAGCTCCCCAGCGGGCTACCCTGTCTGAGCGACTCCGACTTCAAGGCTGTGGGAAAGTCCCCGTGCTGCTACAGCCTGGCCCCAAGGAGCAGTGCAAGGCCTGGCGACAGCTGTCACCTGCTCCTAGGGGCACAGGCCGGCATCTGGGCGCCCTCAGGGTTGCTGACCTGACTGTTCCCCCCCCCCGCGGGTGTGTGGGGGGCCAGCACCCACCTGTGTCGGTCCTGACGGTGAAGGAGCCGCCCGCAGAGGACTCCCAGGCGTACTGCTCGTCGTCGTTGTGCTTGGTGATGACCGTCACCTTCTCCGCAACCAAGTAAGCCGAGTAGAAGCCCACGCCAAACTGGCCAATCATGGAGATGTCCGCGCCCGCCTGCAGCGCCTCCATGAAGGCTTTGGTGCCCGACTTGGCGATGGTGCCCAGATTGTTGATCAGGTCGGCCTTGGTCATCCCGATGCCGGTGTCCACGATCGTCAGGCTGCGGTCTTGCTTGTTGGGAATGAGGTTGATGTGCAGCTCCTTCCCGGAGTCGAGCTTACTTGGGTCGGTCAAGCTCTCGTATCGGATCTTGTCCAGCGCCTGTGCAGAGAAACCGCAGGGAAAACCCGCCGGCGGTCAGGCGGCGGCCGGGCCCGGGGCGGGAACTCCGGCGGGAGCCCCAACGCGCGCCCGGCACTCACATCTGACGAGTTCGAGATCAGCTCCCGCAGAAAGATCTCTTTGTTCGAGTAGAAAGTGTTGATGATCAGGGACATCAACTGGGCGATTTCCGCCTGGAAGGCGAACGTCTCCACCTCCTCCTCCTCCATGGGCTGGTCGCGGGTCTGGGTCTCCTCCGGCATCTGCAAGGACGCCGGGGCGTCAGCCCGGGCCGGGCCGACAAAGGATGACCTCATCCGGCGCGGCCGCGGCGCCCTCCCGCCGCC